TTAGATGCCCATTATTAAGAAGGCAAAATATAGCCTTCAAAGTGGGTTGTAATGACAACCACTATTATTTATGTTTTTAAAAAATGAAGAAACATATCTTTTCAAAGGATAAAAAGTAGAAGTAATCACTAATTTATTTATAAGTGGGCAAACTCCATAAAAATCAATGGGGTTGCACCAGCTTTTGTCAGTGTTGAAACTAGCCAGAAGCGTTTATTCCAGTTTTGGAAATACATTTCATCAGACACATTTCAAACCTTACTTACTTTTTAGCTATCTGGAAAAAACACACAGCACCCGATTTGGATTCCACTTACATCAATGTCAACTAGAGCTAACTGTACTGAAATCAGGGGTGTGACACCAGAGTAAAGTGGGAGTTTTGCCATTTACTTACATTGGGGTGGCCAGTGTTTTACCAGTTATACAAGAGCAAAATTGGGCTGATAGATCTCAATCTAAAACAACAAACTAGGGCTTCTTCTATCCCTTCTAAAGTTGTTGGAAGTTTGGTCCACTTCAAAAGCAGCAGGAACAGGCCTTTAAGTTCTGAAGGTCAGGAAAGCTATTGCTGGTGTATTTGTTGTGATTTTTCTTCAGATACAGCACACCCAAGAAAATGAGTTTTAAAAAACTAGGCAGACTATAAATATATCCACATACCCTGATTTTAATATGTTTGCTGGGTATTTACACCAGGACATACCTCAAGGCAATGTGCACTGTAAATGAAGAGCTTGCTACTGTTTCAGTTTAAAACACTGGGAAATTTGCTATTGATTTCAATAGGAGCTGGAGTAGGCCCCAAAAGAATAATAAATCTTGAAATGGCAAATTTCTAGCCTAATTACTTACGTACAGTTTTTTCCAAAACATTTATTTAGATTAATCGGCTTCCAGCTAAGACGCCTTTTAAAATCTTTAATAAGAAATTACCTCAAGATTTATCAACACAAAGATGTAATAATCATTATACTTTATTACATTGCTGAACAGGTGTCCCACGCCTTTGAATTGAAAGAATTGTAGCCGCAAAGGCAGAAAAGGTCACTGCTTATTATGGGGAATTCTAGTAGAAACATTGTGTTTAAAGTTCCATGATACTTCTTACTTTTTAGGGAGATGGTACCATAAGATGGCTCTAAGAAGATGTAAAACCAAAGATTGCTATATACAAGTTTCCAGCCTGTTGATGAAAGTTTTGGAATAATATTTTTAAATAGCGATTTCATTCATTTCTAAGTGCTTTTTCTTCAGTATTTTTAAAGAACAAGATTGCTTTTGGACAGGTGTAAATAAAAAATTGATTTGTTTAAAAACATTAGTCTTACTTGTTAAGACTTTGGGTAACTAAATACAGGCAATCAGTCCATGTTTAACACCTAAATATGTGAATGAATTTTAAAGATGTGAATGTTAATGTGAGCTATGGGGATATAGTAACAATGATGGTTTCCTAGGAACATGAATGCAACTGGGCCAGCACACAGACTGAACCAATGCAAATTATCTCATTACAGTTGGGTAGGATGGTCTTAAAAGTGTTTCTAGATGACAAATGTAAGAGTGTCTCTTAAGACATGCTTTTGCAGTTTACTAGCCAGTGATCTATTCATTATTTATACTAGGACATTAGAAGAAATCTATCAGCTATGGGGAGCTCAATGTAAGATCCCCTATACCTCAACCTCATCCTGTTACGATGTAGAATTTCTCATGTTATGTGTCTTTGGTTAGTGGTGGGCTTTGTAAATATTTTCCTACAAAGAAAAATGTAATGGATAGATATGATGTTTCTGTGCTGCTAACAAGTTAGTTTTGGAACTCTGTAGGAGTAGGTATTTCTGTGGTGTTGCACACAGTAATGGCCCCAGCCCTACAAACACATAAGCACATGCAAAACCTTACTTCCAGGAGTAATCACATTAACTTTGATGTTTACATACAAATGTAAGTGTTTGCAGGATTGGGGCCAACGGTTAATAAGGCAGGAAGAGTTAAAGTGAGGGAAATAAATATTTTCATTTAAATAACAATTTGATCTTAGCATCATAAAATAGAAACTTTCAGCTGATGTTAATTTTCTTCTTGATTATAACAGCCATTGTTTCAAATGAAGAGGAGGAAATCTATTAGAAGCTGTTTGTTTACATGGTTCAAATGACAAAAAATGTACTTAGCAAAGTGCTATTGATCAATGTCCAATTACGAGCACAAAAACTTCTTCCTGAATTGTGTTGAACCTGATAGTAGTATGTGTGGGCAAGTGAGGTACAGTATTAACAATGCCCATAGTGACTAGTCAGAACTGAAAATTCCTTCTTTTCAATTGACATGTGACAACATTTTCCTCTTCAATTTCCTCCTACTTTTTTGTGCATGCAGTCATATTCTTCATTACACAAACTTCTGGTTTACAGTGGGTTGTTTGAAAATTTAACCTGAACAACCTACTCCTGCAGTTCTTAAGTGTAAAACTTCTTTTTATTTCAAACAGGGAAGAGGAATTCAAAGGGAATTTGGAGGGGAGAAAAAACCCATATGTGTAAATAATAATTAGGTCTCATTATAATAAAGTATAAATTTAGGCTGTTTGCAGATGTGAAAAACCCCATGAAGTAGCTTTAGATATTGAATCAGCTTTAGATAAAAGCACCAAAAGCCCCACTAAAGCACCTGATCTAAAAAGATGCTGGGGAGCTGGGTCAAACTAACAGGCTTCCTCTTCTGGTAAAGTGTGCCCCGCCCCCCCAGTCCAATTCTGCAAGCACCCTTAATGTCAGTAGGAATTTCTGTGCGAGGAATATATTGGGCCTTCATTGGAAGATCTGTATAAGGCTACATGTAGATCTATGGTTATGGCTTTTTTTGTTTTAAATGCATGCCTCATTCCAGCTGCTCTGTGGTATATTAGCTAGGGCCCTGGTCTGGCAATTGATGTCACACGGGGGACCTCCCATTGGTTTCAGTCAGTGGTGTTCCCGCAGAAATCTGTTCCTCTGGAGTCAGTTGTAGAATTGGGAACTTAGTCTTTTCTTCACCAGACAAAACAGAAGATGTTTTTGCTATTTGTAAACAATTTCTAACAGTGCTTTCATCCTCTTCATTCCAAACAATGTCTTTTGTAATAAAAAAGAAAATGAGTAGCAGCTGTAAGTTTCTATTTGATAATACCAAGGTCAAAGTATTATTTAAATTAAAATACAAACAAATGTCTCCCAACATCCTTTAACTCCTCCTTCTCACTAATTATAGTTTATAATGCCCATGCCTCTAAGGCTGCCAGATGTTTAAGGTTCCACTCTAACTCACGGCACTTTACATAGTGCACCCTGAGTTACAGCCCTGCCCCTGGACCCAGCTCGGGGGGGCGGGGGGGCAGCAGGTGGGAACACTTCATCAGCCTCCAAAGAGATTGCTGAATTGCCCCTATCCTCAGCCCCACCCCCCCACCCCCCACCTCTGGGGTTATCAGTGGGGGGAAGGAAAAGGAAAGGGAGCGAGCAGCCAGCTTGGAGCTTTGCCTAGCTAGAACTGGAGGGTGGTGGTGGTACAGAGTTCCCTTGCCTCACAGGCCTGGCCCGGCTCCCCCCAGTACCCTAGGAGAGCTGAGGGGAGGCCCATGAGGTGACGGGCTCCATTCCACCTCATCCCTACCCTCCAACTCAGGCCAGGCAAAGCAGCTTGCAGCTCCTTGTTGGCTGCTCCCTCTCCTTCCCCCTCCTCCCCTGCTGACAGCTCTGCCCCTTGTGAAAAGTTAACCCTGGAGGGAACACAAATGCCCTAAGGTGCTCTGCTTTAGAGCACCTTAACCTATTACCTCATTTGACCAGGGTTAATTTGTCACGCAGTTGGCCATTTCAAAAGCATTCCGCAGCCGTGCACATGTTATGTCATGGCTGTAGAACGCTTTCAGGCTTCCAATTGCATGAAAAATGTTACTTGTGTAAGCACTCAAAAATATTTACTCTTGTAAATAACCCCTCTCCTCCCTGAATCTGACTTCACTGAGATCTGAGGGCATAGAACTGTTCTCAGGAGACGGGTGGCACTTTGCAGAATTTGGTTTTCATGGCAAAATGGGTATCTCCATGATGTTTTACAAATTTTTAATTTCACATTTCAGTAATTTTCAAGGCATACATAATCATCCAAAGGTGTAGGAAAAATAACCCACTACAAGCAAAAACCCCAAATCTATCCAAGAATGGCCAATATGGTATGGTCAGCCACACACATTCAGAAAGAATCATGAATCAGATTCCAACATACAAAATGCCTGTTTAAAGAAAAAAATGCTTTTAAAGAAATTTGACTTTTTGGCTTCCCTTTTGATTTTTTGTTATCATTAGGAGAAATACAGGCAACCCAAATTTGTATACAATTATTTCAGGATCAATATTTAACCTTATGTCACTATACAAAAGTGTGTCCCCCTGTTTACTTCTTGGAAGTGATTTCACTTACCTCCTTTTAGCCCCTGTGGTGTGGTGACATGCTGGTTTGTCCTTCCTTATCTCACTCCTGACTAGAGAGAACAGCTGTCCACATATATTTTCCTTCCATGCTCTACCAGCTGCCCCACCTGCACTGGCTTTTTATATTTCCTTCTTCTTTCAGCTGTTTTCCAGTGTCAGCTGTAAATAAGGGCTTTTGCACTATGATGCTTGCACTATCCTCACATACATCCTGAGACAAAACCTACTGAAATCAGTGGATTCAAGGCCCACTAATTTATTGGTTTCTGAATCAATCCCATGTTCAGCAGTAATGTCAGACCCAGGAAGAAATATAGGATTCCTTGGCTCTAATAATGGGCAACCCACACAGTGGAGTCACAGCATGTGGGGCTATGCATGCTCTGTCCTCAAGTTCGCAAGTGGGTTTTGCTTCTTTGACCCCACCACCACAGTTCACTTACATAAATCACAAACACTGGCTTTATTCATGTGAAGTGACTTTTTCTTGCTATGCATGAAACCAAGAATAAGTGAAACAGATTAACATAGTACAGAGTTTATTATAAGCAAAGCTGATGTATTTGATCCCACAGAAGGATGGAGAATTTTACCACAGTTAAGACAAGACTACAAAAATAAAATGTCCATATTTTATCTGACATAGATGAAAAATACACAGGTGCACGGAAGTGAACTGTTCACTGGATAATAGAATTAAAGTCCTGTAAGGAGTGTCACAAATCTATGTGATGTCCCTGAATACTAGATTTTCCATTTATAACTCTGATTCAGTTGAAAAACTAAAGAGAGAGTTTTTCTTCTTATATAATGATATACTTCTACATATGGTAATCTCCCCATTTCTGGACTAGAATAATATAACGTCCATTTTAAAATTTCCTCTTTTATGTCTGAGACAGATCTGTTGGCAACACAACACTTCCTCTGAGTAGCACGACAAGTCTTTTGAGGATCTGCAATGGTCGGTATAGGAGGAATTGTACTTAAAAAAAATTATATCTGGATACCAGTGGATTTTGATATACGTGCAGAGTTCCTCGAGTGCATATTTGTCTTAATTTTCAGAGATCCACCAACCACATCTGCTGGAAGAACTTTTCCCTAGGAATCCAGAAACAAAACAAAACAATTAGTTTGACAATTGTGTTGTTAAAATATTTTTTCTACTAAATTAATCCTTAGATAATACAGAGAATTTATCTGAGCTAATCAAAACACAGAAATGGGGGTGGGTTTATCGCTTATTATTCCTTCTTTGTTCTGGCTTCTGAGTCTCCATCACCAATAAATTCAAAGCTAGAAAAACTGGTATTTCATACAAAATAACAACAGAAGTCCTTATGTGCACACTGTGTTCTGTTCTTTTTATCCCCATGGTATGCCAAAGGTTATCTCCATTCAGGAATAATACCAATATAAACCTTAGCAGAGATGCCAAGTGCTGGATGAGTCACCAAAGGATGCAACTATTGATGTGTACAGTGGCCATAACCTCTGCTATAACAGAAAGAGTTGCACAGTTCAGAGTGGCTAGTTTTGGCAAGGTAAAGATGTGGCCAAGGCAGCTGTAGTAAAAGCTCATCCAGTATTGCTCAGTGGCAAGAATTATGAACTTCAGGGACGGTTTATTCCTCTCGTCTGCAGAAATCCCAAGGGAGGGCAGATGTAATGCTACTGCTGAATTTTCCTGAGTATGCAGACATTCTGTAATTAACACTTCCCTCTGTCAGCTTTTCTGAATTGGGATCAATCTTATATATATGAAAGAATTTGTAATAATTCTTAGTTAAAATTATTAGCACAACCCCAAAGCATTGTCTCTGCTTATGATCTCCCCCTCAAACCTTTCTGCCCAATGGTGATTGAAGTGGATTGCTAAGAATTTGACATATCTAAGTATCACGATCAATACTGAATTAGAAGACATGGCTAAGCATAACTGGGAGAAAATAATTAACAAAATTAAGGCGGGTTTTGCTCTATTGGGAACTATTAAAGTTATCTTTATGGGGTCATGTAAATGTAATAAAGATTCTGTCTGCACCACAATTTAATTCTATATCAAAAATGGTCCCTGTAGGTAGACCAAAAGATTATTTTACTAAAATTGAATGTGTATCCTATTCCAGACTGAAGGAAGGGAAAAATCTTAAAATTGCAAAGTTATAAATTTCACACAACACATTTAAAAATACCTAATCTCATACTGTATCGAAAGGCATTTAGCTTAGCTCAGACACCACAATTTCTCCTAACGATTATCCCACACAATGGGAAGAGTTAGATTATAATAGGTAGACATGAACGGCCCTCAATGGGAACATTTGGCCACATATACGTTTAAAGAATATCTTGGAACACCAAAAGCATCATAGGAGGCGCACTGCATATAAAAATGTCAAACAACTCAAATATATTTTGAAGTTGTTTGGCATCTATCTTCAGATAGATTTTTCATAAAACATTTGGGGCAATGCTGGTTGAAAATGGAAGATAATGTTTATTTTATGGCATACTGTTATAGTAGAGAATTCAGTCAGTCTTGAATTATTTATATAAGCTTAGTCTTTTCTAGGCATTTGTATAATAAGCCCAAATTATTTGTTCCTGATTTAGAAGCTTAATTTCCGGGGCTCTACCTTATACAACACCTTTCATTTTGGAGTGTGACTTTCATGTTGTTTTGTATAACCTTTGTAGACTATACCATCCATTTTGTAGCTGGGTCTTGAGATGGGGTGGAAAGGCTATATCTGAGAAGCTGTTAGAGAGAGATCACCAGGGATCCGGGTTCTCTCTTCACTGTGGAAAAACACAGATTTTCTTCTTTAACAGAGAAAAATATTCTCTCCTCTAAAGGAGAAAAACATGGAAAACCACGGGTTTCCCCTTGCAGGCTGACACCAGCTCTGCAGAAAAGGACCTGGGGGTTACGGTGGACAATAAGCTGAATATGAGCCAACAGTGTACCCTTGTTGCCAAGAAGGCTAACGGCATACTGTGATGCATTGATAGGGGTGTTGCCAGCAGGTCAAGGGAAGTGATTATTTTCCTGTATTCAGCACTGGTGAGTCCACATCTGGAGTACTGTGTTCAGTTTTTCTCCCCCCGCCAAACTACGGAAAGGATGTGGATAAATAGGAGAGAGTCCAGCAGGGGGTTGGACTAGATGACTGCCTGAGGTCCCTTCCAACCCTAATTTTCTATGATTCTATCTATGATGCCTTGCTTGCATGCCATGTTATCTGTAAGAATGACTGTGTCCCTAATCAAGAAGTTCAGAGCGCTGAAAGTGATGTGAAACTCTAAGGGAATGTATATGAGCAACTGGGTCTCATGAGGGCTGAGGCACTCCTTGGGGGATTTAAAGAGATTAGTTTGCTGGTTTTGACGCTGAATGAATTTTTTTCCAGATGTAATCTCAGCATGAGATTACACCTGGAAGTGTGCTGGAGAGACACAGAACTAGAAACAGCAACCACTCACTGCTCAAACACAGATCACATAAGTTCCAGTGGTTGGGTCCACTTAAAGCAAACAGATGTCCATCCAGAGACGGGGACTGGAGCAGGCTGTGGTAGCTGTATCCAAAGATTCGCTTAGTCTATGTTGTGTTAAATGGCAGCTATCGTAGCCACCTTGCCTAGCTTTTGGTTCTTCATATTTTTAACTCACTGTAAGGGAAAAAAAATCACTTTTCTATCTCACTTAACTCTTTTTCTCTTTTAGTACCAGTTTATGACCTTTATGGTCTGATCTGGCAACCTTTATTTGTGTGAGTAGTCACACTGCAACAAAGAAATGACTTGCATGAATCAAAGTTTAAAGGATTGGCCCTTTATACTGTATGGTGAGTCGATGTTGCACTGAATACTTGTACTTCTAACAAATCATGATTAAACCACTTCTTAGTCAAGACTGATAATATTCAGCTACAACAGCTTATCCTCTGTGTCCTAAATCAGTGCTGAACTACTGTTTCTCAACAGTATTTTAGTACATTAATATTTTAACTTAAACTAGGAAACAGACACTGAAGTCATTAAATCAAACATACTTTGATTACGATGTTGGTAAAAAAGATTGGAATAAACAATATAATAAAAAAGATTGATTATGTAAGCAAAGTCAAGACTATAAATTAATTAACAATGCAAAGACCTTACAGGTTCTATAAGGAGCATGAGTGATTACATAGTGGATCAAACCCATGGTTGGTTCAGTCCTAACAATGACCATCATTAGATGCTTTGGGAGATGGGCTCAATATGTAGATATGGAATAAACTACTCTCACGTGTCTTGTTCCAACCCCTAATTGTTAGAGGTTAATTTAACAGCTGAAGCATGAGCTTTCCCAACCTTTCCAAAACTCTGATTTTTAGCATGAACTCTTATAATGTGAGATTCTTAGTGTCCAGATCAGTGGCCAGTCCCACTTGAAAACTGCTCAGTTATTGAGTACTAAATTTACTTTCCATTTTGTTTAATGACCTCTAGCTCTTGTGTTACAACATAGGAGAACAAGCAGATCCTGATCTACATTTTCTGGACCCTTCATTATTTTATATATTTTTATCATGTCCCTTCTCTTCCTATTCATCATTTTTTTTAAGGTGAACAATGTCAATCTTTTGAATCTGTCTGCACCTGAGAATTTTCACATCTTTCTTTTTGCCCCTCTCTGAACCTCTTTCAAGTGTACAAACTTCTTTTTGAGATTAATATCTATAATGGTAATGTTCTGTATTATCTAGCACATTCCTGATGCATCCAATATCTTGCTGCCTTTTTGACCACATCTATGTTTTGAGTAGAGGTCTTTACTGAGTTACTCACACTTATGTTCACGTTATTTAGTTGAGATGATATAAATGATTTAGAACCGCTGCATGTAGTTCAGTTTCTTTCCCTCCAATGTCAATACACGTCAATATTAAATTTAGCCTGCTTTCATGCTGCCCATTCTACTTATTCAGTTAGGTCCCCCTGAGATTACCTCCAGTTTTCTCTGAACTTGACTATCCTAAATAATTTTATGCAAGAAGCAAGGTTTTTTTGGTGATATCTTTTACCAGACCAACTGTAAAGTTGGCAGAAATGTTAGATAAGCTTTCAGGCCCAAAGTGCCTTCTCAGTGCCCAGAACCATGTCTAACATCTCTCCCAACTACAGAGTTGGTCCAATCAAAGGACATCATCACAAACCCTAGCTTCTTGCACATTTTCTGCACCATCACAGCTACACCTTAAATAATTTTAGGCCACTCAAAAATGCCCCCATATCAGAAGGTTGTACAGAGTATATTGCTCACCAATAAACTGGGATGTAATAACACTCCTGAGCTGTTATGATTACAGATTGAAGAAGTCCAACATACAAGCTTGTGCTCTACCCCACCAAAATATGAAAATGAAGTTACAAGCAGTATGCTCCTGAATTGCCATTTTAGAATCACAGAAATGTACCATGTTCCATAGGTTTTTCAGTGTTTACTGTCAGAAAAGCTTTTGGTGTTTTCTGTGCACTGAGAATGGGTACTTCTACAATGTAGAGACTTTGTTTGCAACTTGCCTAGAGGTCTCAACTACTGCTGCTGTTCTCACTAAGCTGGTGGATTTGTTTTTAGAGCACAGAGGTCTTTATTATCCAATTCCTCATGGAACCAGCTTCCTCTTACAGCCCACTCCTCCATTGTGGAAGCCTAGACTCTTGGCTGTCCCAAAGATTCCTGTTCTAGTGTGAGCTGGAGTGTGACAAAAAACCTTGAGGGGGAGCTGGAAGGACAACCCAAAACAATCCAGCTCTATTGATGTCTCTGCTAAATACTGACATCAATATATCACTTCAACTGTGAATTTCAGACATATGGAACCTGATTTTTCAAAAGGCAGCCTTCACATGTACAACATCAAATGTGTATGTACACACACCTGTTTCTGCATTTAAGTGCACACTGTGTTCACAATCATAGATCTGGGGGGGCTGATTCTCTACTGGCTTGTTTGTGACATCATTTGTATCTATGGTTGTTTATTTCTCTTTGTCACTCCCTCTGCACAGGCGTAAATGACTGCAAAAGTGATGAGGCAGTGAAGAATA